TAACTAAAAAAGATTTATTAGAAACCAGCTCGAATAACATGAATAGATTAAAGACATTTTTAAATTTAGGGACCATTTAAAAATTTAGCCTTTTATATAAAAATAATTAACTGTATTAACCCAAATAAAAATGTATCTCTCAATTACTAGTTTGTAATCCTGTAATTACATAAATCTAAATATAAATTATCCATGACTTTCTTAGAGGCTAAAAACCTGATTATATGCATTAATCTAGAATAAAACTCAGCAATAAAATGAAGATACAAATCTAAAATGCTAAGCACAATCTTTGGAGATACACTAATTATGGGCTTAATCCCGTTCAAAGATCCACCTTAGATTCGGGATTTGTAATTTTAAAATAAATGCAAAATAATAATAATAATAATTTAGCTAGAGCTAAATCGATGGACATAATCTTCTTGCCTTTCATTTTCCAGAGTTTTTAAGGGGATTGGTCAAAGAAAAGAATTAATCAAGCTACCTAAACAAACTTTATTATGATCAATCTTGACGCGGTTTTGTTGCTAAACAGGAGAGGGAGTGAGGGAGAAGATCAAAAACTATTGAAGTGATGTGATAGAATGGCTGTTTCCTTCAAGTTCTCCCGCAGTCTATGGGATTTGCACAGGCTGGTCCTTTGAATTTTGTTGGCAGCCAATACTACAACCTCATCATTAGCATGCATGAAAAGGATGTATCCAACTCCATGTGCAACAGTGATTATTACTGTTTTGTCTCACGAATTGTATTGAGTAAAGCATCTTAATTCAATTTTTTAACAAAAAATAAACAATATTATCCAAACATTGAAGTTTAGTTGCTCAAGGATTTGTTAAAAAAGACAATTGCTCAAGAACCAATAGGGATTGACAAAAGGTTGATCGTAGAGTTGAAATTTGCTAAAAGGGCCCTTTATTTGAATGCAAACCACTTAAGAAAAATCGAACTAGAGATGAAAAATTATTTGTTAAACTTGATGTAAAAGCTCTGTCTGTATATATTGATATTTTACGAACATTGAGATATCTTTATTATTTCAAACTGGTTACGCCATGTATATATATATTAATTATATTATATTTAGATTCATGGAGACCCATTGCGTGTTTTAGAAAGAAATTTCAAGAATGTAGTATAACGATTTATTAAGAATAATAGTTGATTATAAAGTCAACATGAGAAAAATATCTGACCTTTTTTTTAATTAAATTATTTCATCTCGTTGATTAATTTTAAAAAATATTGAACCAATGTAAAATGTAAAAAATACGTAGAGTCATAAAATAACAATACATATTATGTGTTTAAAATTTTCAAAACATGTATCACTGTCTTAATGGCTCCACGTGTCTCCCTTTTTGTTTGAAATTGGTTAATGAAATGGAAAAAAAATTAAGATTTTTTTTTTAAATTCTTAAGATATTCCAAATCCAAAGGTACCCTATTTATGTGGTCAACAAAAATTAAGGAGATCAATATGAATGTAATAATCCATTAATGGCACCATGGAAGTTGGTATAGCACATGCTTTTGATAAGCTATGAACAGTTTTAAGCTAGGCTTGACTGAATACGAGAGAGTTAAGGTACGTAGGCATGTGGTTCAATTTTAAAATTTATGCCATGACAAAGACATTTTTCCCCTAGCAAACTGTTACAACAAAGCTATTAGGAAACTACAAAAGTCATTTTCATGCCATGTGCAAAGAAAATTTTAAGAATGTTTTGAGTAGAAAATATAAATTCATGTTATTGTTTTTTCAAAACCGCGTAGTCTGTGTTAAAGGGATACGCCAACGAATTTCCAACTTCATTTAATATTCTTTCTGTAATTTTTATTTTTTTTAAATTTAAACATTTTTTTAATATTAATTAAGAGCATTTTGGGTATAATAGGATTTAAAAGGCCGTTTATGTAATATTTTTCTTAAAAGTAAAGGGAGTTTTTTCCATATGTTTAAAACCTTCACGATATCCGACGAGGTTATTTCAATTTGTCCTTAAAAAAGTAATGAAAAAGAAATGCTTGAATAAAAACCACCGAAAGGGGTGATCTTGTAATAAAAGGGGTGCGTCTGTGATTTTGTTAAGGACTATTGTTCGATTTTCGTTTGGAAAACCAGCCATTAAACCTCTCGTGGTACCATATTTGGGTTGGCTAGCTGGGTGGAAAAATTCATCCCTAAAGTCTATGATTCATCGAAAATTGACATTTCCAGACTTGAAAAGAGGAGGACCGGTATTGGCACCAAAAGTCTCAAAAGGTACTCCATTTCGTGACACAACTGAAAGAAAAAAGTGATTGGATGAAAGAAAAGTTTGGGAAAAAGAGAAGAAGGAAAGGGACTTTCAGGGAGAAAATAAAGTGGGTTGTGATAGGAAAGATAGAACTTGGACCTAACATCTGTAGTTATTCAATTTTGGGTCAGACGTGCTCGGAGAATCTGTAGCATTGCCTGAAAATTTAGTGCTTGGCCCATGTCAAACCACCTTGGCGGCTTGTTTTAGAACCTCAAGCTAGTTTGGGCTTGGTAAGCAATTTCCATTAATGTGGTGGACGAGAAGTTCTTGAAGTAAACACCATTGTCCCCTTCAGATAGAGCACAAGGAGGGTTAAGGAAAATGGATACTGAAAGCCCATAAAAACAGTGTGTGGCTCATTGGACCAAGATGTGTATGCAGCCGGCATTCCAACCTCCCTCCAAAGTCTGAATTCCTGGTCATGAGAAAAGAGTCCAAGTTTCCATGAGGTTGGATGGATAGATAAGAAAGTATGCTCGTTTTATTTTTGGGGTTTGCAAATATGGAAACTTTGCATAATTTATTTATTTTTTATTAAGATCATAATTTTTTTTTGGTCCAATTTAAGAATTCTATTTTTATATTGTTGTTATTTCAGCTCTTAATGTGTCACGTAAGCATATGTAACATGACAAGCTTTATCCAATAACAACTTATCACATCATTAATTTAATTATTTAATTTAGGTCCATCATAACACGTGACAAGTTATTATTAACTAGAGCCTGCCTTATTTGCTTATGTAGCACATTAATGTCTCGAAACAAAACATAAAAGTAGAGCTCTTAAATTAAACAAGAACAAAATTTAGGATTTCAATAAAAAAAATCCAAATCATATAAGGTTTTGATATATGTAAAACTATTTTTTTTAAATTGAATTTTTATGAATAGTAGACTAATGTGAAACGTACATTTGTAAGATTGTTTAAAGAAAAAAATTTAGTCTGGATTGATAATTTGGATCAACAAACAAGTTGATTTGAGAAATTTGTTTTTGTCGTTCAATAGAAAAAGAAGAAGAAGAAGAAGAGAGGAGTCTAAATTGTACCAAGATATTTCATATATGTAGAGTAAATTTATTTATGTTTCCATGAAGTGATAACATAAGGTAAAAACTAATAGATCAGACGAACTTTTCATTCAATATTTGGGAATTAACGAATAGTACAAATTTCGGTAGATACTCAAAATAAAGGCCAGATGGAAGTGTCATGCAGAGAGATACAACACACATCTAACCTCCACTTTGTTCACTTTCGAGATTCCTACTGCCAAATGACATGCGTTAACTCGTCTTTACAACAACAATAAATTGAATTACTATACCCTGTCCTTTTTGTTTGGTAAATCCGTAAGCAATAAGATCATGTTTGAGAATAGAGAAAAGGAAACAGTGAGGGAAAAAAGAAAAAAAAAACAAGAAGAAAAGAAACACAACTTTCAATGTTACTCACATGGTAATAGATTTGTTCCAATATTATCATCTCAGGTTAAAATTAAAGAAAGAAAGGAAAAAAAAACCTATAAAAAATTAAAATAATTCTTCAAGGATCCAAATAAAAAATAGCTAGAATTTAAGGACTAGTATTGCATATTTGAATTTTTTTCTTTTGGGGTAGGGGCCACGGCGGGTGGCACTCAAAACCTGCTCCCAGTAGTCCATTGGTTGAGACCCAAATTTTTTTTTTTTGAATAAATATATTTATTTAGTTTTATATAATACTCAAAACCTCTAATTTATTTTCAGATTTTTAATTGTTTTTTATTTATTTTTAAAATAGTTTGAAATGTTAATCATGTCTTTCCAATCAATTTTTTCCAGTTAAATAATTTTTTTAATCAAAATACCCTTGAATGAAATACAAAAACATAAAATAAAATAATCAATTTTTCTAGTTAAAAAATTTTTTAATCAAAATATTTCTGATTGAAATACAATAAAATTCTAAAAATTAAAAAAATAAAACATGTAGATCATGTTATTTTAAGTGCTTTTTTTTGTATTTTAATAAAGGATATTTCGGTGAAAAAATTTTATGATCAAAAAATTTAATAAGAATGAACTATTGAATATTTCAAAAAAAAATTCAAAAAAAAATGTTATGGAATTTAAAATTTTAAAAATATAGAAATTTTAGGTATTATATAAGGCAACAACAGATTGAAAATGACCGTGTAATCGTTCAATTTTCACTTTTGAAGTAAAGGAAATGAATGTAAATGGCCAACTAAATTTCCTTTAAAATCACAGCTGATTTGGTTGTTCTAAACAAAACTTTAAATACAAGGATTTCTTTTCTTCTTTCCTGTTGTTGTCTCCACAGCAGTCCGAAACTATTAAGGATTGACTGGCCGAAGCAGAAGTAAGAAATTCAACAGGCACAGAAAGATTGCAAAAGGTCACTCACGTATAAAGTGGCCTGCCAACTAGGTTACGTCATTTTTTTTCTTTTCCTTTTTTGATAGCAAACAAAGAAAGAGCATAGAATGGTGAGTTTATGTGGAGGTTCATGCTTTGGTCCTACAACAAATCATCATCATCATCATCAAAGAGGTATATATGTGTCAAATGTCTTCAAGAATTTCCCAAATGTTTCACGTTAATTCTGATTATGTCAAAACTTTCTTGGCTTTTTACCTTTTGCAGATGGGTTGGTGAGAAATGTAACGTTTAATTTGGAAGCACAAAGAAATGGCGAGCAAAGGTACTCTTACAGAGATATATGCTTGGTTTGATTTGGTCTTAGTAGTTTTTTATTATTTATTTATTTATCCTGCTCGATATTGAGTATATTTGTATAGATTTATTAGTTATTAGTTTCATTCTTTTTCGTGAATTTTAGATTTCTTTCGGTTTGTTTCAATTTGCATATCAAATCATTGATCTTCAAGTAAACCCAAATTATATATTTCCGTTTAAAAAAAAATCTTCCATGCACTTAGGATATTCCAATTATGTAGAATTCACTTGTAAAATCTATTTTACTTGTAAATAAATCCAAGGCAAAAGTTAGTGTTCTCTATCTTGCTTATTTTTAAACAATTTGTAGCTTTCAATGCGATAATCTTAAACCCCAACAATTTACAATTTGTGTTTAGTAATGTATCAAAATGTTTTTGAAAAATGACATTTAAGTTGAAAAGGTATGGAAACATTAATTTAATGTTTTCTTTTAGCAAAAACAATTCAATGAATATTCATATCTCGATTAAAGATTTTCAGGTTGTGTCACCCCACTTAAAGTGCCAGTGAACCAAGCACGTTGTCTACTAAGCAGAAGCCAATGCAAGAAGACCATCATTAGCTACTCAAGATTGTCATCTTCAGCCAGTTCAGAGAGCAGCAGCAAAACTCTACTGGGCAAACCTTGTAGTAAAAGATTCAAAAAGTCCAGTGTTCTTGTAACTTTACAGAATGAATTTGGAACAAACCCTGAGAATGACGATGTTTTGTCGAGTTTTAAGGACACTGCAATCCAGCAATTACATTCGTTCTATCAGTTTTCTCGTCCTCATACTGTGATTGGCACTGTGAGTTTCATATTTTTACACTTTCTTGATATAGAACTCATGTTTCTGATAGCAAGAAGTCAATAAACATGGACTAATGTAAGTTCGCTTTTTTGTTTTTTTGTTTTTTAACAGCTTATAGGGATAACATCAGTTTCTCTTCTACCAGTAGAAACAATATTTGATTTGTCTCCCACGTTTTTTATGGGATTGCTGAAGGTAAGTTTTGGACAAAAATACTAATAATTGCCTTGATGGGAATTTAGCTCCAATAGTAAAGAATTCTTCTGATAACTCAGGCATTGGTGCCATCAGTGTTGATGAACATTTACGTGGTTGGACTGAATCAATTATTTGATGTTGAAATAGACAAGGTATGTATCCCAGTGGCTTAAATTATCAATTTTTATGATCTCTGCAATCTTTTACTAATTGGAATGCGTTAGTATCGGCTGTGGCAGGGGCTGATTGATGGGGTTTGGTTGTTACAGCTTAAGGTTTGTATGCCAATATATATATGTTATTGGCTTCATTTTTAACTGGATTTTCTCAGGTAAACAAACCTTATCTCCCACTTGCTTCTGGAAATTACTCAATGAGAACCGGTGTCGCAATTGTTTTGGCCTGTTTATTGACAGTAAGTAGGAATGCTTTTTTAGCAACAGAGAAGAGTGGATATTTATGCCATTGAGCTGACTAATTTTCATATATCAGAGTTTTGCAATGGGAATTATGTTTCGATCACCACCACTACTTTCTGCTCTGCTCATAAGTTGTGTACTTGGGAGTGTGTATTCTATTGAAGTAAGTTCCTTACGCACCATAACTCGACAGTTTTGTAACGTTCTGCTATTGAAGATGACCTGAAAGACACAGAAGGACTTCATTATAGCATTAAAAACTCTCTGCTTTGTAGCTTCCTTTACTTAGATGGAAGAAACAAGCATTTCTTGCTGCAACTTGCATCATGATCGTGAGGGCTATTGTCGTTCAACTTGCGTTCTTTATACACATGCAGGTAGACAGAAATTCTTCATTTTGCAGTTCATTGAGCTGCGGATAGATACCCCATTCTGATCAAAATATGAAAGTCTATTGTTTTGCATGAATTCTATCCCTCGGTATTTCTTCTTCTTTTAGTGATTGCTCAAACAATCGACTGTATTTGCAGAAATTTGTTCTTGGCAAACCAATAGCAGTGACCGAATCATTGATGTTTGCAACTGCCTTCATGTGCTTCTTTTCTGCTGTTATTGCCCTATTCAAGGTAAGTCCAAGTCCATACTGAACCTAAGGCAAAGTACCAGAGTGCATAGACAGCACAGTTAATTCTGATTTGCAGCCTAAATTGACCTGGCTCAGCCATAGTTGAAGCTATCTAGGTAATGAAAATTAATGTCTTTTTGCATTTCTATAGGATATACCTGACGTTGACGGTGACAGAGATTTTGGTATTCAGTCCTTCAGTGTCAGCCTAGGCCAAGAAAGGGTAAGCAAACTAATTATTACTATCTAATCTTGGAGTAGTATTTTTGTGCTTGCTTGCTTTCTGCAAGAACAAGTAGAAGCCTAAGTTCTCTCATTTCGGTGGCCTTAACACATATTTTGTTCATCTTGCCAGGTCTTTTGGCTTTGTGTTAACATGCTGCTGATAGCATATGGAGCTGCTGTGGTTGTAGGAGCTTCCTCTACATTCCTACCAAGCAAATTCATCACGGTATTTATCATGTAATATTCCTGTTCATGTGGTCTTCTGCAATGTTAACTGTTGCTTATGAAGATTGGTTTTTGGTTCAGATATTAGGCCATTGTACGCTAGCATTCGTTCTGTGGCTTCGAGCACGAACGGTTGACCTTGCCAGTAAAGAATCCATAACTTCTTTCTACATGTTCATCTGGAAGGCAAGTCAAATCTCTCTCTGCTCAAGCTTAGCTAGCTGCCTTTATACAGGATATTCCATGCTAACTTCCATTAATGCTTTGCTATTCCTGTTACAGTTATTCTATGCTGAGTACTTCCTCATTCCATTTGTTCGCTGAGAAGACTCGAAGTCTGATTTTTTTTTATTTTATTTTATTTTTTTTGTACAAGATATAATGTTCTCTTGTCCTTCAAAAAGAAGATCGTGATTTGACAATGATGTTGGAACGCCCATTTCCATTTGATCAAAGCTACAGTTCATTTTCAGTCGAAAACACTGTTCTACTTGAGCAAAAGAGAAAATTAAATAGTTCATGAGATGGCTTGTCAGAGTTATGTTATTTTTATGGGAAAAACATTCTCTAGGGAGGAGTTTGAGCAAAATCCGGTTCATTGGATTTTTTTCCCCCTTTCTAATATTCATGTTCATTGGATTGCTAGATTGTCACACAATAATTTATTATAATCGGAAAAATAGACATAAATCTTCTAATAGTTACACAAAAAAAATAAAAAAGTGAAAAATAAGATTCTTAAAGTTAACCATCAATTAAAAGTATACCATTAAAACGGTTATAAATTATTTTTAAGTTAAAGTATTTTTTATATATATAGGGTTAATACTCTCACCACATATTATCAATAAAACTAAAGCAAAATGATAATTTATTATTCATTTACTATTTAAAATGCTATTTATCCATGCCCATTTCACTATTCACATAAATTCGGATGCACTCGTTCATTTAACTAGAGGTATTTTTATAGTTTTTGAATATCTATAAGACATATATTATAAAAATTTTCGTGACATTATATTTTGATCATTTTTAAAATAATTTTTTTTAGTCCGTAAATATTTTTTGTTTGGTCTTGGTCCCTCTTTTTTGTTTCATTTTAATCACTTTAGTCCTTTTTTCTCCGACTTTTTTAATAAAAAATTTTAAGGCAAAAAAATGTTTTAAAAAATTATAAAATAAGTTTTTAGCTAAGAATCCATTGGTTTTGACATTCTTTATACTATCAAATAAATTTTTTGATTAAAAATTTATGAAAAATATAAAGAATAATTAGTTAAATACAAAATTTAGATTAAAAAATTATAAAATTGAATGAATTTTTATTCTTTTTGATTTGATGTATTTTCATAGATGCGTGATATAACATGGGACATCAAAATGAAATAATTTTTTAAAAATAATTTTATGTATTTTGTCCAACCCATAGTGTAGCATGGTTAGAAAATCTAGTTTTTATTTGAAAAAAGCCAATTTGTGAATAAAAATTATCAATGTAATAGAACACTGACAAATAAACTAAGTTATTAACAAAATTAAAATATAAATTAGCTATTAAAAGGTCAGAGACTAATTAATTTATTTCCCTAAACTAGAAGGACTAATTTATAATTTACTCAGAGATATGAATTGAAACTCTCTCTCATATCTCCTCTCTCTCTCTCTCTCTCTCCCTTCTTCATAGACGCTGCTCTTCTAATTCACTTCTCATCATTTTCCTTTTCTTCTTTCTGATAAATAGCTGATCAAAATTTACAGCCACGTAATTCGCACCAATTTCATCATCACAACCAGCCAATTTGAGATTCACTGGGGGCAACCAAGTGTTATCGAACCTGATTGTTTGGTCTTACAAGAAAGCAATTTGTGGCCATAAGTACTGTTTGGAGTTGCCAAAAAGAGAGAATCATGGCTGTCGTGGCTCGATTCCCTTGCCTCCTCTTGTTTCCGATTGTGGGTTTCTGAAGCCAATGGATTAGCTGCATTATCATTTAATTCTTCTTTTTCCATGAAAAATAAAAAAATCTCTCAGTGTCATCATCAATCACTTGGATTTGAGCCCACTGGTGCGTTTTGCACTCAACGGTCAACTCCTCGATGATACTTCTCTTCGCACCAGAGGCAAAGATCAAAGACATAACTTCTTTTTAGCGCTCTTAATATTGAATGACATGTAGCATACAAGTCGTCTTTCCATTAATAAACGACATAAAATTGGACTTTGGCGTTGGCTTTTCAGCTTTAGTAAAAGTCTATATAATATGTTTTAATATTTTAAATAATTTAAAAATTTAGGCATAAAAATAAAAATTAATTAATATTAACTATGAGAATTTTTTAAAATTTAATATATATTTTGTAATATTTAATAAAATATATATAGTCCATAATTAAGTTTAAATATTTCTTTGGAATATTTTTTATTTTCATCAATAAAAAAATACAATTAATTATATATTTTTTTAAATAAAATTAGAAGAAGGTGCTAAATCAATTATTATACATTATACATAAAATTAAAGTAAAATCATTGATTTTACTATTCATTCACTGTTTGAAACATTGTTTACACAAGTCACAATTCATTATTTCTTTCGCTATTCATTGTATTTTTTTAACTCTTTGGTTCTCAAATTTTTTATACCTTTTTTTTTATTTTTAAATTTTAATTGTATTGTGATTTAGTCCCATTTTGTTTTGATATTTTTTTAATTATTTTTATTATTTAAGATTTACTACTTTAATCTGTCAATTTTTTTTTAAATTCTCTTCTTTTTTTTAAAAAAATTTCAAATTTTAATTATATTGTAATTTGGTCCTATTTTGTTTTAGTATTTTTTTAATTATTTTTAGTTTTTAAAATTTACTATTTTTATTTTTATTTTTTTAAAATTTTCATCCAATTAATTTAAAATTATATGCTACTCTATTTTTTATACATTTTTTTTTCAATTTTAAACTTTAATTGTATTATGATTTGATTCCATTTTTTTTAGTGTTTTGTTTTAATTATTTTTATTATTTAAAATTTACTACTTTAATTTATCATTTTTTTTTAAATTCTCATCGAATTATTTTAAATTTATATTTATTGAAAATTTTAATTTATTTTTCTATATATATGGATTTTGGAATAAATTTTTAGAATATGATTATTTTTTCTTTTAAAAAATAGATTTAGATAAGTTTTAAATTATAGTGGCATGATTAATATATATAATTTGTCTTAAATATATTTTTAGATTAAAAGTGCATCTCAAATAATTTTTTCTCAGTTTTTTTTTAAATCAAATTAGTTAATTAATAGTTGAAAGCCAAATGTAAAAAAAATCCTAAACCCTAAACCCTAAAAATAAAAAAATAAAAAAAACAAAGAAGATGGTTGCTCTGCGCGTGAGGCTCGTATTCAAGGATTAGTCATGCATAACATAGAAATAAGAAATTATTTAAGAAGGAAAAAAAGAAGAAAAATAATTCATATGTTTTATTAATTTGTTTCTTATTTATATAATCAAAATTAATCGAAATCAAATTTGTAATAATTTTTATTTTAATATATTAACTTCAAATTGAGTCAATAGATTCCTTGCAAGTTAACTATATATATATATATTTTATAGTATTTTTGTTCGAAACTGAAAACTCGAACTAACTTAGTGTAAAATATTAAATCATTGTTTATTTAGAAATTAACTATGCAACTACTATACTAAGCATTTACTAGTTATTTATTTATTTTTGAATATTTTAAAATTAACATATTTTAAATTACATAATTAAAATTATGTTTTGGCTTAACCACTCGATGATTCAAATTAATATAGTTTTTTATTTTAATATTATTCATTTTTTAAAATAAATATATAAAAATTAAATTCACATTTAAAAAAAAATTGATATTCTCATCAACATTAAATAAAAATAAAAAAATTATTTGTTCAATTTTATGTAAGCTTTTAATAATTTTTATTTTTATTTTTTGATATAATCTTATGAAATACTAATGCTTTTTAAAAAAAAATTATTCATTTTGTTTAGTTAATAATCCATGGATTAACAAGGATAAATCATTTTTCTAAAGAAAAAATTATGAAAAACACAAATAAAAAATATTTAAATACAAAATTTATTATTAAAAAATTATAAATAATTTTTTTCACCTTTAATTTCATATATTTTTATAGATTCATACTATAAAACGTACTATTAAACTGAAATAATTTTTCTAAACGATTTTATATATTTTATTCAATCCGTAGCGTAGTACGAAAAGAAAAAAACTAATTTGTACTAAAAGACAGTTTAGTTTTAGTTAATGTTTCTATAAATAATAATAATAATAATGGAGAAAATTTTATTTTGAGTAAATAACAAATAAAAAATAAAAGCATAAAAAAAGGGGACTGGGTTGGGCTCACACTAGGCCTTTCTATATGGGTCTTGGGATAATCAAACCCACAAGGCTGGGCTGGGTTGGAAGAATAGCCCAACCAAAAAAAATACAAAGACCTTTTTGTAGCAATATTTTAAATTAAAGATTGTTTTGTATAAAATTAAAACTCAAAGGACCAAAGAGAATAGTGATAATACTAATTTATTTATTTTTTTGTTCTGTACCGGTATTGTCCTTTAAGATAACTTTAATAATTTTTTTTAAATGTTGGTTTTAAGGTTTAAATCTAAAAAAATTAAAACAGAAACCAATTTTTTAAACCACTATACCAGCTTCTTAAAGTTATAATAATAATAATAATAATACCTAATAATATAATGATTATTAGACCAATAGGGTTTTTTAACCTATTAGTTACAAGTTTTATACCATAACTCTCCTACATAGACAATAAATTGCGAAACAAATATGCTTATTATTATTATTTTTTATTTTACGGTTTGTGATATGCTTAATTCAACTTTTATATGTTAAGATTAAATTTATTTTTCTAATGTGATTAAAAACAGACCACGTATTTTAGGACTAGAAGATTAAGAAGATTTTTATTTTATTTTTAGTTTATAATAAGGTTCAACGTATTTTGATCTATACATAAAAAGTGGGCTTTTTTTTTTTCTCAAAATCTTACCCTTTTTTTCCCCCTTATATTGAACCTTGATACCTTAAAATGAAAATCTCAAATCTTAATCAGTAAGTTGTCCCTTCCAAGACATTAAGGAGAGTTTTACCAAATTGCAGATTTCTAAAACGAAACTGTGAGTGGGCTGATCCATGAAGCCCAAAAAATGAAATTCAAACAATCAATGAGGCCCATCAGTCATTGTAAAGCATAAGGCCCAATTCGAGTATTAAAGCGGACGGGTGATTTGCAGAGTAAATTATAAATTAGTTAAACGAATTAATTATTTTTTCTTATTTCAAAAAATAATTATTTATTTTTTATATTTTTTGGTTATTATGTACCTTTATATTTTTTAATTTATTTTGATTTTTTTAAAAGAAAAGAAAAGAAGGATTAATGAGAAAAAAATAATATTTTTTAAAATTAAACATGATCGATAGGACATGCCAATTCAAAATAATAAAATGTTATCAAAATTCACTATGCACACACAATACATTACATAAACTTCATGGTATAATAACATATTCGGTACTGTTGGATATGCTGTTTTAATTAATAGACTAGGAACTATTTTATTAGTTTAAGTTTTTTTTTTTTCCTTACACCAAGAAATTATCGAACCAGTACAAACAATTTGTTTAATTTGCCTGTAAAAGGGGCGAGAGACATGCTTTTCCACAATTGAAGACATAGACTTTAAGGAAGTTCGATGGAAACTCCAGTTGTGGGGTTTACTTCTACAAGCTACTACTTTTGAAAAGTTGTTACTCAAGTACAGGATTCCAGGTGAAGCCTATTGTGGGCTATATATATAAAGAATAATTTGGAACTGGTTTGCAACTTGCTTCATCACTTTTAGCCATCTTTTGTACTTACAATAATATATATATATGCTTTTCTGAGTTTCTTTTCTCTTACTGCATGAGAAGACTCGAAGTCTGATTCTTTTATTTTTATTTTTTTTGTACAAGGTATAATGTTCTCTTGACCTTCAAAAAGAAGGTAGTGATTTGACAATGATGTTGGAATGCCCATTTACATTTGATCAAAGCTACAAACCATTTTCAGTCCAAAACACTGTTCTACTAAAGCAAAAGATAAAATTAAATGGTTCATTAGATAGCTTGTCAGAATTATGTTATTTTTATGGGAAAAACATTCTCGAGGGAGTTTGAGCAAAATCAGGTTCGTTGGATTTTTTTCCCCTTTCTAATATTCATGTTCATTGGATTGTCACACAATAATTTATTAAAACCGAAAAATAGGCATAAATCTTGTAACGATCACAAAAAAAAAAAAAATGAAAAATAAGATTTTTGAAGTTAACCACCAATTAAAAGTTTACAAAAATAACTATACCATTAAAACGATTATAAATTTTTTTCAAGTTTACAAAAATTGTTTTTGTTTTTTCAGACCTTGGAGATATGATTCTATTGTTCTTTTCTCGTATTTTATAGACAAAATAAAACAAAATTGGCCCTAAGAAGGTGGCTGATATATACAGGCGTCGTTTTCATAATATCGAACTCATTGCCATGCTTAATTGCTAGCCACTACCAAATTCAAGTACACTGCCGTATAGAGCTTTTCAACCGTGATGAAATCAAAACCCTCTATTCTGTAGGGAATTTGTACTTTGCAAAATTTTCCAACTTTGCGGCATTTGACTTGGAATAAAAAACAATTCTCGATCGTTTTGACCCATCAGCCACCAAATCAAATAAAAAAAAAGGTTTTGCTATGTCATGCATGGATTGCCACATATAGAAACAATTAACAAATTAATTCAGACAGTGTTTCTTTTCTTTTCTTTTTCTTTTTCAAACAATTAATAAATTAAGACATTTGTTTAATAGTTAATTACCATAGCTATCCTAAATCCCTATATAAACGGCCCACTTCTCCAGTTTATTAAACCTGAGTCTCAAATCTCATCTGCTCTCAATTTTATACATCATCTTTCTCTGGAAAAAAAAAAAAAAAACATGATGAGTTTGTGCAGGAAATATTCTCTCTTTCTTGGAGCTAAACCCACTATCCTTTTGTTGTTAATCCTTGCTGCCAGAGCTAGTCCTCTTATAGCTGCTGCTAGGCCAAAATTTGAAGCAAGCGGCACTTACTTTCCACAAAGCAATCGTCCAGTTCAGCCATCTGGTCCTAATCCTTGCAGTTACCTGCCTGGACCAGGGCAATGCAAGCCTCCAAAGTGATGCATGCTTCATATCATATAAGCATCCATACATGGTGCGTCTTAAAAAATAGATATCGTTATAGCTTTTTTAATATTTTTGATAATTTTCTTCTTTTGGACCTTGTGGTCTGTCCTTGGATTTAATCTGACCATGTTTTTTTTTTCTTTTCTTCTATATATGTGTGTATGTATATTTCAGGGATCGTATTAGATGATGGAGGTGGAAAGAACGCAAGTGGAGAAGTCTGCAGGGAGAATTGGTCCAACAAGTTTTTGTATGCAGATTATTAATCATTAATAATTTATTTCCCAAATTCGTGTTAATTATTTAGTTTTGGCTGTTACCAATGCTTGAATATCTTGTTCAGTGATAGACCATGCACGGAGAAAGACGGATTTTTCTTTCATCTTTTCTTCTCGTAAAACTCTTTCTATCTTCATAAAAAATCCCCATCCTTGTTGTAGTTTCCATCAATTAGACCTTAAAAGGTTAATGATTTTATATTCATAATCAACAATTAACTTCAAAATATTAGTATCTGTTTTTTTAGGAGAGATTGAATAGATTGAAAAGGTACTTAGTCTTATATTTTAATCTTCTTAATTTGTTTAAGACCACTTCCAACTAGTTTGGCATCTTATTCTTAGCTTCATTGTCGTCGTCGTCGTACGTTGTTAAAGACACCGACCCCCAACCTAGTTAAGAAGTTCAAAAGGCTACAAGGATGTCTCTTTTCAGCGGAAAGCTGAGAAAACAATCATATGTCAAGAAAAGAAAAGGATAAAAATAAAAAATCATTACATAACACAAAATTCACATAATTCAATAAATATACTTATTTTATGATTAAATTAAAAAAATTTATTAAATTTTTTCATCAGTTATAAATATAAAAGATATTATCTATATTTATAGTATGAAGTAAACTACAGATCAAATTTATATCAATATCCACAATTTAACATTATATTCATTAATTTTGATTTATGAGTTAAGGATTCTTTTTATTTTTGGAGACTAATTAAACCGTTATTCCAATATAAACATACTTAAGATCAAAATTTTCAAGCCTAATTGATGAAAAATTCAGAGATTTAGAATTATATATATATATATATATATGGCGATATTTCTTGGGAAATAAAAGACCAGTTCGGCGGATCCAAAATTTCCTTTTGATGGATCAATATTCACTCAATATTACTCTATGATATATAACTTGCTTAAACTAAGGATGCATTGCATTCTCATTAATTGTTTCTATAACTCTGAATATAAAGTTGCACCTTAACATTTCAATGATAATTTTGGATTAGAAAGATATATGCCGCATTACAAAATGATTCCTACTTTTAGTCCAACGTTCTAGAAACGCGGAGAATAGGCTAACCGACTTTAACTAGCTCTTCTAGAAGATTCTTTCTTTATACCAATTGACAATCATAGTATGTTTTTTATGGAAAAAAGAAAAGACAAGAAAAGAAAATTATTCCCTTCCCCTTTAAAGCTGCTTGTGCCATACCCATAAATATAAACACTTACTAAATTTTCATTCCCAAAAAATCAAGCACCTTCAACGAATGGAGGAGAGCATCGATGTCTAGCTAGCAGTAACACGGCTTTGAGGAGCTTAATTAACTAAGATGTTTTTTTTTTTTTATAGATATTTTCATTCCATACTAGAGATATAATTAATTATTTTCTAAACATAAACAATAAAATTTGATTTCTTTCGATAAATATAGCTTCAATATTCAAACAGTATTATATGTTGTTGATAAAAAATTCGTTTAAAAATCAAATCGTTTATTAATAAACTAATAATTTATTAGTTAATTAAATTGGTTTTAGAATATGTTGCTGTTGGCTAAGGAACAATCACTAGCTCAAGTTAATAATTTTCCATAAACTATATGTTTTCATTTAATGAAAAGTCGAGATATATACACTAAGACAAAATCAAACCAAGCACATGTCTCTCTGAGAGTGACTTCGCTTACTATTTCTTTGTGCTTCCAAATCAAACGTTACATTTTCTCAACAACCCATTTGCTCTCACTATTTTTAAGGGTGAGCATTGTATCTCTTTGAGATCGAGTGCCTTTGCTTACCACTTATGTGCTAGAGAATCGGTATTGTATTCGAGCATATCTTTTTATTCATAAAGGGTGAGCATGCTCATTTTTGGCTTTTGCTCTCATTGTTTTCAAGGGTGGTCTGGCTTTCGTTATCACTCTTTTTAGGGCGTTTTTCCATTTATTCACTAGACTTTAACTAGTGCTTGTTAAGACAACACGGCTCAATCATTTCTGCAGCAACGAACTTAAAGTCATCAATTGACTCTTCCTTATATATATATATATCAGATAATTAAGGATGAAGAAATAAGATAAATAGCAGTAATAACAACAATAACGAAACAAAAATTTTTAAATACTCAAAAAGTAATTATTCAAAATTTATAATAATTACTTCATGAGTCTATTTTTAAAAAAAAGATTAAAAAAATTATATTTATATATATATATATATATATATATATATATATATATATATATATATAATTACTTCATGAGTCTATTTTTAGAAAAAGAATTAAAAAAAAAATTACATTTGAACATATCAAAATAATAAAAATATTTCTAGTTAGTCTTAATTTTTTTTTTTTAACTCTTTCTCATATTTGTGTCTGTATCTTTTTTATTAAGTGTGATTAGTTACTCATAAAATAATACAGAATTTCTCATGATGAACAAATTATTGAAAGGTAAAATTAGAGTTCAAGTTATTAAGAGGTTAAGCTATTTATTCATATGATTTTTTTTCTTATCTTTAAGTAATGTTAAAATCTCTGTATATCACATTCTAAAAAGAAATACGAATATAAAAAGGTGTTAAACCCAAATGTATATAAAAAGGATTTTAGAACCAAATTTATGTAAAAAAGGTTTAAGAACCAAATGTATATAAAAATGGTTCCGACCATCAAACACGTCTATCACCGAAAGGAGAGCATCAATATTGCCTATCATTTTGAAGGATTTTGACAAAGTACACCCAGAAAATGGTTTGTAATATGCCCATTTTGTACAGAGTTATGTCGTGACTATTCCCATAAAAAGAATCTTTGAAAGTTTTCTTTTCTTTTGTTAGTGACAAAGGCTGTTGCTTTGAGCATCAAAACTTAATTCAAACACTAGTTTAATGGTTTCTCTTACAAATCAACAGTTGCTTACAATATATTAAACTTGTCTCCACTCTTAATCTATATCACATCGTTCTTTGAAAATCAAAACCATGCACGATGAGGATAGGCAAAAGCTGCTATGCTTTTGTTCCTGATCCTTGCTGCCAGGGCCACTCGTGTAGTTGCAACTAGACCTTCTTCTTGTCTTATGAAGCCAAAATTTAGAGCAAGCCGCATGTATCTTCGGCAACATATATAACCGTCCGATTCAGCCATCCGCTCCTATTCCATATATTTAATTTATTAAACTATAGAAACCAACCCTTATAAAAATACTTCAGAGAAAAATATTCATTTCCAATATGGAATAGAATTGCTTCATTTTTATTTCATACAAACTATACTAACATCAATAACTCTAAAATATAAAGTTGCCATTATAATTTTGGATTAAAAAATACATGCCGCGTTCACTATTTTTCTCCACGTACAGTTCCCAGTTGCTAGAAACGTGTACAAGAGACTGACTAACTTTAACCAGCTCTTCTAAAACAATCTTCCCTTCCCAATAGCTAGCAATGCTGCTGTGCCATACCCATAAATATGAACACGAACTCAACTTTCATGCCGACCACCAAACAACTTCGATCAAAGGAGAGCATCAATGTCTATCATTTTGAAAGAATTATGTCAAAGTACGCCTAGACAATGGTTTTGTATTATACCCTAGACAATGGTTTTGTAATATACCTTTTTTTGGAAAGACTTATGTCGTACTCGTACATATTCAAAATAAAAATAATTTGGGGACTAATTTACCGTTATCGAAAATTTAGAATAATTTTTAACTAATTAGACTTTAATCTATTCTTTCTTGAGAAACTATATACTATATAGAAATAGATATTTTCTTTTTCTTTTTCTTTTGCTTTTTCTTCTCTCTTAATAAAAATCTCTGTCCTTCTTTCTAGGAATCAATCAGAACTTAAAAAGCCTAATGATCTTCTCCAAAAATATGCCCTCGTAAATAATAATAAATCCCCTAATCAATCCGGTTCATTGGATTTTTTTCCTCTAATATTCATGTTCATTAAATTGCCAGACCGACACGCAATAATTTATTAAAATAAAAAAAATAGACATAAATCTTGTAATGATAAAAAAAAGTAAAAAATACCATTCTTAAAGTTAACCATCAATTAAAAGTTTACAAAAATAACTATACCATTAAAACGGTTATAAATTTTTTTAAAAGATATATATAGATACATCCGTTTGTGGGTTTATACTCTCACCACATATTTTTATTTTAAAAAAAAGGCAATTTGTGAATAAAAATTATTAACATAACAGAAAACTGATAAAAAACCTAAGTTATTAACATAATTAAAACATAGAGTTAGCTATAGAAGGATGGGAGACTAATTAATTTGTTTCTTTTAATAATTAAAAGGACTAATTTATAATTTACTCAGAGATATGAATTGAAACTCTCTTTCATATCTTCTTTCGCTCCCTTCTTCTTATACGCTGCTCTTCTAATTCACATCTCATCATTTTCCTTTTCTTCTTTCTGATAAATATCTGATCTAAATGTACAACCACATCATTGGCACCAATTTCATCATCACAACCATCCAATTTGAGATTCATTGGGGGCAACCCAGTGTAATCGAACTGAAGAAAGCAATTTGTGGCCATCAGTACTGTTTGGAGTTGCCAAAAAGAGGGAATCATGGCTGCCATGGCTCGGTTCCTTGCATCCTCTTGTTTCCGTTTGTGGGTTTCTGAAGCCAATGGATTAGCTGCATTATCATTTACTTCTTCTTTTTCCATGAAAAATAAAAAATCTCCAGCGTCATCATCAGTCACTTGGATTTGAGTCCACTGGTGCATTTTGCACTTAAATCCTCGATGATACTTCTCTTTGCAAAATCTTACCTATAATTTTTTTTTCTTAAATTGAACCTTGATACCTTATAATGAAAATCACAAATCTTAATTAGTAAGTTGTCCCTTCCAAGACATTAAGGAGGGTTTTACCAAATTACAGACTTCCAAAACGAAACTAAGAGTGGGCTGATCCATTAAGCCCAACAAATGAAATTCAAACATTAAGGAAGGGAAAAGTAGTTTCTTTTTTTTTTTTTTTCAAAATCTTACCTATAATTTTTTTTCTTAAATTGAACCTTGATACCTTATAATGAAAATCTCAAATCTTAATTAGTAAATTGTCCCTTCCAAGACATTAAGGAGAGTTTTACCAAATTACAGATTTCCAAAGCGAAACTGTGAGTGGGCTGATCCATTAAGCCCAACAAATGAAATTCAAACAATCAATGATGCCCAGCAGTCATTGCAAAGCAAGAGGCCCAATTGTAGTATTCATGTGGACAGGTAAATTGCAGAGTAAATTATAAATTAGTTAAACGAATTAATTATTCTTTGTTATTTCAAAAAATAATTATTTATTTTTCATATTTTTAAATTATTATTTTACTTAATATTTTTTATTTTTTCAATTCATTTTGATTTAAAAAAAAGATTAATTAGAAAAAAAATAATATTTTTAAAATAAATGTTATTAAATTAAATGTGATTGGTACTGATTAAAAAATTAAAATTTTTATTTTTAAAATAATAAGAATAAAATAATTCTTTTTAAAAAAAATAAAATGACTGATTTGTATTTTAATCGTTAATTGCAATTTATTTATTTATAAAGTAATGTTAGGCATTGATTATAGAGTTGGAACTTGGGACTCAAATCCAAGACTCCATCCATATCAACCAATCAAAGCTCTTAAAATCAAGAAAATTAATAAATTAATAAATAAAACAAACAACTCCAAGTCTAAAATAAACCTGATCCATGTAAGAATTTCCCATCAAATTAAACTTGCACGTTGGCTTTTCAAATTTTATTTCCAACTGCAGTTCATCATGCGACAATGAATGATCATAGAATAACTAACTATGTAACTATCGTTAAACTAATTAAAAAAATCATCAGGTGGAGCAACTTGACCTAAGTTACGATCAAAACCATGTCAGGAAACTGGTTTTTTAAGTTTTATGCAACATTTTTTTTTACCTTTGTACGATCAAAACCAGAAAATGAAACTAGCTTCCAAAAAAAAAGGCATATTCAATCCGAAAGGTGCATGGGGACTCAAGTATCCATGTCAGGAGCTTTATATTTTGTTGTCTCAAATTAAACTTAACCAACATATCTGCACATTGATTATAGAGTGTGATTCATAGTTTATTAATTGCAGCACGCACTCCACTAACCATCTCCCAGCTGACAGCATGAACAAGGGCAAACTAAGTGCGTGCATGGGAATCCAGCACTACAAGCGTTAATAACATCTATTCAATTTAAAAGTTTTTTTCTTATTTTGTTTCTGTTTTTTCAGACCTTGGAGATATGATTTTATTGTTCTTTTTTCGTATTTTATAGACAAAATAAAACAAAATTGGCCCTAAGAAGGTGGCTGATATACAGGCGTCATTTTCATAATATCGAACTCATTGCCAGCTACTACCAAATTCAAGTACACTGCCGTATAGAGCTTTTCAACTGTGATGAAAACGAAACCCACTATTCTGTAGGGAATTTAATTGTACTTTGCAAAATTTTCCAACTTTGCGGCATTTGACTTGGAAGAAAAGGACAATTCTCTATCGTCTTGACCCATCAGCGACCAAACAAATTCAAGAAAAAGGTTTTGCCATGCCATGGCTTGCCACATATAGAAACAGTTCTTTATCATTTTTACCCGTCAGCGGCCAAATTAAGCAAGTCAAGAGCAAGGTTTGGTCATGCCTTGACTTGTCACATGCATAGAGCCAGCTAGAGACAGTGCTTCTTTTCTTTTTCTTTTTCAAACAACTAATAAATTCAGACATTAATTTGTTTAATAGTTAATTCCCATGGCCATCCAAAATCTCTATATAAACCACCAATTCTCCAGTTTATTAAACCTGTGTCTCAAATCTCATCTGCTCTCAATCTTATACATCATCTTTCTCTGAAAAACAGAAAAAAAAACATGATGAGTTTGAGCAAGAAATATTCTCCCTTTCTTGGAGCTAAAGCCACTATCCTTTTGATATTGATCCTTGCTGCTAGAGCTAGTACTCTTGTAGTTGTTGCTAGGCCAAAATTTGAAGCAAGGGACACGTACTTTCCACAGAGCAATCGTCCAGTTCAGCCATCTGGTCCTAATCCTTGCAGTTACCTGCCTGCACCAGGGCATTGCAAGCCTCCAAAGTGATGCATGCTTCGTATCATATATAAATCCATACATGGTGCGTCTTAAAAGATAGATATTGTTTTAGCTTGTTTAAATTTTTTTGATAATTTTCTTCTTTTGGATCTTGCGGTCTGTCCTTGGATTTAATCTGACCATGTTTTTTTTTTTCTTTTCTTTTATATGTATGTGTGTATGTATATTTCAGGGATCATATATTGATGATGGTGGAAAGAACACAAGTGGAGAAGTCTGCAGGGAGAATTGGTCCAACAAGTTTTTGTATGCAGATTATTAATCATTAATAATTTATTTCCGAAATTCGAGTTAATTATTTAGTTTTGGCTGTTACCAATGCTTGAATATCGATCTTGTTCAGTGATAGACCATATAGAAAGATGGGTTTTTCTTTCATCTTTTCTTCTCGTAAAACTCTTTCTTTCTTTAACAAAAATCTCCATTAGTTTCCATCAATTATTTACCTTAAAAGTTAATGATTTTATATTCATAATTAACAATTAACTTAAAAATATTAATATCTATTTTTTTAGGAGAGATTGTATAGATTAAATACATGGCACATCACAAATGTTTTCTACTTACAGTGTCCAAGTTGCTAGAAACGAGTAGAATAAGCAAAAGATTCTTCCCTTCCCTTGCAATGCTGCTGTGCCATACCCATAAATATGAAAAACATTCGACACATACCTCTTTGATGATGATGATGATGATGATTTGTTGCAGTTCCAAAGCATGAAAGTCCATATATATAAACTCACCATTCTATGCTCTTTCTTTGTTTGCTATAAAAAACAAGAAAATGATGTAACCTAATTGGTAGGCCACTTCAGATGCTTTGACCTTTCCCAATGTCTCTATCTCTGTTGAATTTCTTACTTCTGTTTCGGCCAGTCAATCCTTATTATATTTAGACTATTGTGGAGACAACAACAGAAGAAAAAAGAAAAAGAAAAAGAAATCCTTGTATTTATCTTGTTTATATATTAGGTTAGAAGCAACAATTTTTTTCTCTCTCTAGTAATTTATTAAAAAAAAAAAAAAAAAACAGCTTGCAAAAACATACTCAACCCAAAGGACTACCATAACTTTGTTACTTGTTAGGGTTTTCAATATAAAATGGGTGGGTGAGTATCAATAAAGAAACAAGCAATCAATTAATGAAGAATTGTATTTTGCAATAATGTTGAAGTGCTTGACGGTTCTTTGTCAATCCTTCTCAAAAATCCTTATCAATAAGATCCCTCACTATTTATGACACAATTTATTTAGTAGGGCATATACTTTTGGTGAACAAAATGGCCATATATTATGCATTCAATTAAAAAATATTTCGTCTTTAATTTACATATATAAGCAAATATTTTAAGCAATTCTCACAAACATATTTTAGAATCAAAATGTAAGATATATACGTATACAAATGGGTTCAATCAAACACTATACATACTAACGAGAGAGCTAGGGTTTTGAAAGAGGATACATGGTGGGAGATGTGTGAATTAGGCTTCGTAAATTGGAGATTAATTTCTAGAATGAGCATAATATTCGTATATATATGTTAACATATGTCCCTATCATTGATACTTTGTTTTTGTTGTTTTTTTTTTTTTTTTAAATACTGGAAAACTAATAATGATGGGAACACAATTCTAATTGCAAACTCTTGCTTGTTTATCGATCTGACTTCCGAGCAATACCCTGATGTGAATTTTTGTGTAGACGATTATTTCAAAGGTATTGAAATAAATTTGGTGATTGCTTCATTACAAAGATTTTATATAGGACAATTGAGACCACACGAGCCATCCAAATCCGTCCATTGTTCTCTCAATTTCAATCACGCGTCTTTGGCACTATAAAGCAAGTGGGCTGCGTGGTATTATTTTAACTATCAAAACATTATTATTCGCTCCCCACGTTGGAGTAATTTGACAGAAAAATAATTGTTTAGAGGTACGAGAAACATTATTTTTGAAGTGCTTATTTGTCTCACATAGCGACAATATGTTTGAGGTACAACTAAATCTCTAAATTTAACATATATATATATATATATATATATATATGTTTGATGCGTATAAATATGTGCAATAAAAATTTTATATTTATAGATTTGAATCAATATGACTGTTAATATTTTATTAACCATTTTAACTCTAAGTGCCAATATTTTGATATTATAAATATTTTATGTACTAGACTCACCAAATAATCCATCAGAAAAATCCACTACTATTGCATTTATTTAATCTATTAAACTACAGAAACTCACCGTTATAAATACTTTAGAGAAAAATATTCATTTCCAATATGGAATGAAATTTCTTCATTTTTATTTCATTACAAACTATACTTACATCAATAACTCTACATATAAAGTTGCCATTATAATTTTGAATTAAAAAATACATGCCTCGTTCACTATTTTTATCTACGTATACAGTTCCCAGTTGCTAGAAACGTATAGAATAGGCTAACTGGCCATCATTCATGCCGACCATCAAACACCTTCAACGAAAGGATCGAGAGCATCAAAATAAAAAAGAATCTTTGAAAGTTGTTTTCTTTACTTAATGACGAAGACAGTTGCTCTTTGAGCATCAAAACTTAATTCAAACACTAGTTTAATGGTTTCTCTTGCTACCATGAACCTAGCTCTGTATAAATCAACAGTTGGTCTCAGTATATTAAACCTGTCTCAACTCTCATATTATATCGCATCGTTCTTTGAAAACCAAAACCATGATGGGTATGGGCAAGAAATCACTCTTCCTTGGGGAAAAAGCTACCATCCTTTTGTTCCTGATCCTTGCTGCCAGGGCTACTCATGTGGTTGCAACTAGGCCTTCTTCTAGTCTCATGAAGCCAAAATTTGGAGCAAGCCGCATGTATTTTCCGCAACAAAACCGACCAATTCAGCAATCTGCTCCTAATCCTTGCAGTTACCTGCCTGGACCAGGGCAATTCAAACCTCCTAACTGATGCATATTGCTTCACATCATGCATCAATACATGGTGCGTCTTAAAAAATAGATATTTTTTTAGGCTGTTTAGATTTTTTGATAAATTTTCTTTTTAGATTTCGACTGATATCATGTTTTTTTTTATCATCTTTGGGATATAAATTCCAGGATCGCGAGTATTGATAATGCATGGAAGTGGAAAGAACATAAATGGAGAGTGTGAAGGAAAGTTGATCTTTTAATGATCGTCCTTTAGGATATGCAGATTATTTATCGTTGAATTCGTGTTATTTTGTTACTTTTGACTGTTAGCAATGCTTGAATATCCTGTTGTTGAAAAGGATTGTTATTTGAATCATTTCTTGATTTTGATTTTCGATTCATAAACTCACTTTTATCAAACAATCAAAATCCAATCTAGTAAGAAAGAAAGAGACAAGGAATGGTGTGAATGAACGAAATACTCTAAATTAATTCGAATTTTGAAGAGTAGAAGAATTAAGAGGAAGAAGAATATATACTTCATATGTCTTTAAAAAATTGTCTTTTTTAATTTCTCATACAGATTAAGAAAATTATTTATCATGAGACAAAGAAATGGTATTGGTAGGAGGGGGAGGAGAATCAACATTCATATATAGACATGGAAGAACGCGTATTAGGAGATTGCTAGTTTCAAGCCTCGAGCTCTTCATTGCGATATGCACTAGTGTCTTCTCTAGCACGTCGTTCCTAGAATTATTGATGATACTCGCATCTCTTCTATTCAAGCATTCTCTTTATTTCTTTAGGTTTTTTTTTCCCGATTTAGATCTTTTCACCGTTCGTCCATCCACTGATGCTATGAATAATACTGGAATGAATAGATAGTTTTGTTTTTTTTAAATACGTGTCGTTTTATTAATAGTCACGTGATAGCATGTAAGATCAATTTTAGCGAATGGATTGAAATCTAGATAAAAAGATTATATTAATGATAAAATAAAAATAGATTGGAGAGCATGGAGAGCATCAATATTGCCTATCATTTTGAAGGATTTTGACAAAGTACACCCAGAAAATGGTTTTGTAATATGCCCATTTTGTAAAGAGTTATGTCGTGACTATTCCCATAAAAAGAATCTTTGAAAGTTCTTTTCTTTTGTTAGTGACAAAGGCTGTTGCTTTGAGCATCAAAACTTAATTCAAACACTAGTTTAATGGTTTCTCTTGCAAATCAACAGTTGCTCACAATATATTAAACTTGTCTCCACTCTTAATCTATATCACATCGTTCTTTGAAAATCAAAACCATGCACGATGAGGATAGGCAAAAGCTGCTATGCTTTTGTTCCTGATCCTTGCTGTCAGGGCCACTCATGTAGTTGCAACTAGACCTTCTTCTTGTCTTATGAAGCCAAAATTTAGAGCAAGCCGCATGTATCTTCGGCAACATATATAACCGTCCGATTCAGCCATCCGCTCCTATTGCATATATTTAATTTCTTAAACTACGGAAACCAACCCTTATAAAAATACTTTAGAGAAAAATATTCATTTTCAATATGGAATAGAATTGCTTCATTTTTATTTCATACAAACTATACTAACATCAATAACTCTAAAATATAAAGTTGCCATTATAATTTTGGATTAAAAAATACATGCCGCGTTCACTATTTTTCTCCACGTACAGTTCCCAGTTGCTAGAAACGTGTACAAGAGACTGACTGACTTTAACCAGCTCTTCTAAAACAATCTTCCCTTCCCAATAGCTGGCAATGCTGCTGTGCCATACCCATAAATATGAACACGAACTCAACTTTCATGCCGACCACCAAACAACTTCGATCAAAGGAGAGCATCAATGTCTATCATTTTGAAAGAATTATGTCAAAGTACGCCTAGACAATGGTTTTGTATTATACCCTAGACAATGGTTTTGTAATATACCTTTTTTTGGAAAGACTTATGTCGTACTCGTACCTATTCAAAATAAAAATAATTACCGTTATCAAAAATTTAGAATAATTTTTAACTAATTAGACTCTAATCTATTCTTTCTTGAGAAACTATATACTATATAGAAAGAGAGATGTTTTTTTTCTTTTCCTTCTCTCCTTAATAAAAATCTATGTCCTTCTTTCTAGAATCAATCAGAACTTAAAAAGCCAATGGTCTTCCCCAAAAATATGCTCTCGCAAATAATAATAAATCCCTTAATCTTTTTCTTGATGATCTGATTTCTTTTAATAAAAGGATTTATGCATATAAAGAGCCTAAGGTATTGTTTGATTATCTAAAATAAAATATCAAAAATAAAAATGTAGAAATTGAAATGAAAATTAAGAAATCAAAATGGTGTTTGTATTCTTATATTGATTTGAAATACTAATGATGAATCAAAATAAAATTTAAATTTTTTAACATCTTATTTTTAATACGAATAAAAATAATAATTTTATCGACTATAATGATAATAAAAATAATAGAGATGATAGTGTCGGAAGTTGTGGTGGTGGTAGTAACAGTTGATGTGGTGTTAGAAGTAGTTAATACACAATAAATAATAATATATTATTATTTTAAAAAAATAATTTATATTTCTTATTTTTATTCTCATTTTTTACTTGAAAATAAAATTATATGTAATTTTTATTCACGTTTATTTTTTTATTCTCATTCTAGTTTCATTTGTTTTCAATCAAACAACTACAAAATAATAATAAAATTTTTATTTTTATTTTTATCATTTTATTTCTAGTAACCAAACAACATTAACTGGCCAGCAACACTAATGATGTTATTGGATAGTGACGATAGATCTTCAAGATTTTTGGAAAGGATAAATCAACATTACCCCGTGGATCAGCAACACAAAACGAGCCGCCAAGATCGAAGACAAGGTCGAGCAATAGATGCCCAAAGCTGTGGTTACACTGCTCTGGGCTACATAACGGATTAAAATTTAAAAGGTATGCCTTGGCCCAATGGATTAAAATGAATGGGCTAGAACAAGATAGATCCGGGCGTAGCCTTGCTGTAAGGCGACGGGTTTTGGTCCTGCCATTTCGATCGACAATTAGAACTTTCACTCGTTCAAAAAAGAGAAGGAAAAAAAAAAGATTCGTTGTTTTTTATTTTTATTTTGAAAACAGTTTTTTCAAAAATAAAAAATAATGATAGAAGAACTGATAACTTAAAATATCAAAAAAAAAAAAAGAAGAAGATAAAACTTGGTACCACGAATGCTTTAAAAACAAAAAAAAAAACAGGAAACAACAATTATATCAAATGGGCAACGACTGAATTTAACAAATATGACCTAGATGTTAGGAATATATATATATATATATATATATATATATTTCCTCCTGGTAAAACGATATAAATTCTCTTAAAAAGGACATTTCGGATAAATTTAAGAAAACAAACAATAAAAATAGAAGTTGTATGAAAATAAAAATAGAATAGTACAGAGACACATAAAAACTGAAAAAAAAAAAAATACTATTATTGTATAGAAGGTTTTTAACTTGATCGACTGCTCGAAAATACTTTCGATCTGGCCTTATGTTTGCAGGACTCAAAAGAAATAAGCTTGAAGACGAAGGCATAAACACATATCAATCTGGATTAAGGTTTCGAATGAAGGTGAAATCATAAACATAGTTTCATCGATTTTGGATAATATTCTCGATGTTTGATGTGGAGGCACGTAAGACAACCCTAATCCACCGTTCTACTAACGGGACAGAAGTTACTTTTCACCGTTATTAAAATGGAACGGTGGTCGGTCCTTCTGTGGATTCCATACTCAGCAACCTTATCTAACAATGGTTTGACAGGTCAACAATTGTTGCTTTTAACCAGGAAGAACGACAATCCTTATCGTTCATACATCAGCTCCCGAATCAAATCCACACAAATTCTTTGCCTTACCTTTTCGTGCCCTTTTGACACCATCATCTTTGACCAACCTTTGTTTTGATAAAATTATGTCATCATACCCTTTTGATAGATTTTTTCATGCAAAAATAAAAAAATAAAAAAATCAATTTAAAAACTTAAAGTGCTAAATAAAATTTTATAATTATTTTAGAATTTGAACGCATAAATTGTTTGATTATATAATTAATTAAAAAATAAAATAGAGATAATAAAATTTAAATTTGTAACCGTTTAATTATTCATTTAATTTTTTTATACTATATTAAAAAACTTTTCAACTCAAAAATTTAAATCGAGAGTCTGACAATGTTTTTATATTACTCACAATGTACATACCTAGCTTTGGTACATTAAAACTAACCTTTATACATTTGTTTATTGAGCTATAGTTATCCTTATATATTGGCTGCTTATCCTGAAATATCTATATAAACCAAAGTTCTCAATATTTCTTATCCTTGTCTCAACTCTCAATCTACGTACACTATCTCGTAATCCTCTGAAAATCAAAACCAAAACCATGATTACTAGGTGCAAGAAATCGATCTTTCATGGGGCAAAAGGTATCTTCCTTTTGTTCCTGATCCTTGCTGCCAGTGCAACTCTTGTAGTTGCAAGTAGGGTTTCTAATCTCATGAAGCCAAAAATTGGACCAAATGACAAGAATTTTCCACAAAACAACCGTCCTATTGAACCATCTGGTCCTAATCCTTGTAGTTACCTGCCAGGACCAGGGCATTGCAAATCTCCAAGTGATGCTTCATCTTCCATTCAGCATGTAGTAATTCTAAAAATTCTAGCTTATTCATATCAATTAATAAATATATATTTTATGAGTTTTAATTGTTTTATAACTTTTCTTCTTTATCTCTGCTTGGATTTAGACTAACCATGTTTTTTTTCCCTATTAAATTTATATATAAATTTCAGGATCATATTGACGATGGAAGCAGAAAGAACACAAGTGGAAACTAGTAAATGTCGAAGAGAGTTGGTCCAATGTCGAGTACTTCTGTATGCAAATATGTAATAATAATATCCTTAGATGGATTAAAATAGGATTGTTATTTGAGATATTGGATCCTCACATATGTTCCAAAGGAGGCATGCATGATGATATTATTGTAAATATTAACTTTTAAATTAAAATAAATAAATATTGTTTACTTAAAACCAAAATAATATGCTATATCGTTATTAGAGTAGTTTTTTTTTCCTCTCGAAAAAGGAAAAAGGAGTAGATTTCTTTTTTCTTTTTTCTTTTTTTTGAGAATAAGAAATAATTTTCTTTATTAAGAAACTATAGACTATATAGAAAGAGCTAGAAACATATAATGAAAATCTTACAGAAATAATAAAGATCCAAAATCCAAATCTAAAAATTAAAAAAAAAAAAAAAAAAACTATTATATAAATGAACGAACGGCTGAAGCAATCGTTGTCATTCGTCTACTAGTAGCTCTGCTGTCTTTATCTTCTACTTGATATTTTTTTAACCTAAACAAGAGATTTAAATACTGATTTATTAGCATTTTTTTTTCCCTTTTTTGGCAGAAAGCTGAGGAAACAACCATCTTTCCTATATTTTTTATTATTATTTTTTGAGACTTATTAAACCGTCATTTTTAAACTGATTTATGATATTTTTACTGTCGAAAAAAAAAGAAGTAAACTTTCGTTCAAATATTATGCAATTAATGGGCCGATCCCATTAAATTCAATTGGTAGAGCCTGGGTACCCAACTTAATATGAATGCCCAAAAAATAAAGGCCCAAACGCTTAAAAACTTCACATCTGGGTAACCCAGAACCACCAAGAAACCCATTTATAAAATCCCTAGCATCAACATTCTAGGGTTTCTTCATTCAGTATTTTCGCTAACAAGACCGAGCAGTAGAGGAAGCCGATCAGAAGAAGCAAGCGAAAATGGTAACCCTCTTTCTGCCCAGATCCATCCTGTCTTGATTGGATTGGAATTTCGAAACTCAAACTTCGTTTTTTGATATGGGTTTTTGATGTATGTTTATATTTATATATTTAGCCGTCACACAAGACATTTAGGATCAAGAAAAAACTAGCAAAGAAGATGAGGCAAAACAGGCCTATCCCTAATTGGATTCGCATGAGAACTGACAACACTATCAGGTCTTTTTTATTCGCTCATTTACTTCCTCTTCTTGTTTATGTTTTGTTGTTTGTTTTCTTTTCTTTTAAAGAAAAGAAAATTTGAAGTTACTGAATTGTGGTTTTTTTGGGTTTTTAGATACAACGCCAAGCGCAGGCACTGGAGAAGGACTAAGCTTGGGTTCTAAGGTGTTTTGGCTACTTGGAATATTGGATTTTGTTAGTGTCATTTGGGTTCTAATTAGTTCGAGAATTGATTAATGGAGAGAATATTAGTTGATGTTGTTTTGTAAGGAGCTCATGAGAGTCCCAATTGAGAAATCTTGCTATGTTTAAAGTATTGACTTGTTTGAGTAATTTTCAACTTTGATGAAACTTGAAAGTTTTTGAATTTTTGGCTTTTGTTAGTCTGCTTTTGCCGGTGAGAAGGTGGGAATTGTTTTGCTGAATTGATTTTGTTTGTTGGTATGCCTTTTGAATGTGAATCATTTCCTGTTTTAGTAGGATTCAGATGTTATTAGGATGCACAATCCTTGTTGTTTCTCTGATTTATCAGCTTAGATAATAGAAGTTAATTGTTTCCGTTATCGTAAAAGCGGTGTAATGAGGTTCTGTTTTCTTCTAAATACCCACTATGGCTCAGGCTAGTTTTAGTAGCTTGACTTGTTTAATTGGTTGGATGCATTAGTTAGTCCAATATATGTCATTAGGCTGGTGTGCAGTCTTGTTCTGTTGCGATTCAACTTTACATGTTGAGACGAGGTTCTTTTGCCAGTTTTCAGATTGATTTCTTTTGTAAAATGTTTACATGTCTGATTTTCAGCCAGATGTTCTTTTCTAAAATCATGGTCTTCATTTCATTTGATTTTTGAAACAAAATTTCTTGTCCCCTCGAATATATTTTCTGATTCTGATCACAGCTTGTGGTCTAGTTTCTGAATGCAATTCCCCTTAATCATGGAGTCTTGAAGACAGTTCAAGTCTGACATAGCTTGTTTTTTCATGGTCATGAATGTGATTCTCTCATTGTACTTGAGGGATTGCATATGGTGCTTAGTTTTTAACCTGTTAATAAACGTTTTGCCAATTTCCAAATTCATTGGGTTCTTTTGTCATCTCGTTTGTGCAGTTAGGATAGCTAGGTACCATTTAATGATTAGCATGCAACTCTTTCGGCCATTAAATTGTCCAGGGATGCTTCCGATATGGGTGCTGGTAGTTTTTGCTGCCTTTTCCTGTGTTCTTGGTGATATAGTTGGTACTGCGATTTGAAGCAGAGTTCTGAAAGATTCGCTAGTGCGTTCATTTTTCATTCTTCCTTGGTATCAAAATCCGCACAAGGGGAATACTGTTGATTCTGATATGCGGAATCTGATTTGCAGAGGATTTCTGTGAGGTTGCAGAACGTAATGAGCTATTATCATCTTCATTTTTTTGGCACCATTTACTCATTAAATGGTGTCTTGTCAGTTATTTTGTAGGCATGATGTCCTTACGAGTAAGATCTTGCTCGTTTATCCCTTTTAACATTTTTTGGATTGCTAGGGACCGTTTCTTCTGCACTCTCTTTGAACACACTGTTAAAAGGTTTAATAAAATTTTCAGCTATTTTGTTGAGATTTAGCAATTTCAGGCCTTTAATACCAAATTGCTTAGTTTGAACCTCATTAACCATCCACCTAGTGACATGTCTCTCATTCCCAGAAGTAAGGTTTTTTTTTTAAAAAAAAACATAAATATTATAAATCCATGTGATTGCGGCTTTGTTGGGGTAGTTGTTTTAATTGTCAATTTTGGAATGGATCGCTGGACAAATTTTTGAAGTGTTGGGATATACTATTTTCTTTTTCTCGCAATTGGATTTGTTAGGGTGATTTTCTTTTATTATTATTTTTTCTCAGAAGTGTTTTTGGATCTGTTTTCTGCAGTGGATTATAAATTAGTATTAAATGATAGATGACCTAATCTATTGTAAGAAATAGCAAAAATTTTCTGAAGAAATGACAAAAAAGAAAAAAAAAAAAAAACAACAACCGGTAGGTGTAGTTCTCCAAAGATGATGTGACGTTAATAAAGAAAGGGTTCAAAGAGAGTGTGTCAAAAGGCAGTGTCCCTAGCGTTCTCCCGCAGTTGTAAGCATGGACATTTGCTAATCGACCCCTATATTTTGGTGGAGACGGTTATTCTCTCCCGATTGTTGTTCACATTCTGTCTTCGTGGATATACTATAAGAAAAACACGGAAGTATATGTAGTACAAGCTAGAAATAGTAGCTAGGTAGGCGGTGATGGGAATTGAATAGTTACCTCAAGGACGGAAATGGAAGGAAAGTAGCAACGCAGTTTTTGAATTCTCTTTTCGTTTTCCTTGTCAAAAACTAGCAAGATCATGCTGAGATTCCCATTAAATATCGACCAACAAAACTAGCAAGCCATCCATATCTCTCTGATATTTAATGGGAATCAAATGGGAATTAAATGCTGAAAAACTGCATCTGCTGTGAGAGATATGGGTGGCTTGCTAGTTTTGTTGGTCGATATTTAATGGGAATCTCAGCAGATGCAGTTTTTAAAAAAGAAATGGTCAAGATACCTTATTGATGGAACAAGAAAGTACGCAATATTCAAATTGTCAATTTGTCTATCATATTCAGGTGGCGTAAGCGAGTGGGCCCTTTAACCGGGATCCCACTTTTGGACTCCTACAAATACACCGATTCCTACTGCCATCAAAGCCATAGCAATTCCTTCCTTCTTCAATATATTCTCTCTGTCACCACCTCCAGTACCATTAGCACCACTATCATTGACGGTGGTGCACACTATATCGTAATTCTCTGAAGATCAAAACCAAAACCATGATTAGTAGGCGCAAGAAATCGTTCTTTCCTGGGGCAAAAGCTATCTTCCTTTTGTTCCTGATCCTTGCCGCCGGTGCAACTCTTGTAGTTGCAAGTAGGGTTTCTAATCTCATGAAGCCAAATATTGGACCAAATGACACGAATTTTCCACAAAGTAACCGTCCAATTCAACCATCTGGTCCTAATCCTTGTAGTTACGTGCCAGGACCAGGGCATTGCAAAGCTCCAAGTGATGCTTCATCTTCCATTCAGCATGTACGTAGTTATTCTAAAAATTCTAGCTTATTTATCAATTAAGAAGTATATATATATATATATATATATTATGAGTTTTAATTGTTTTATATTTTTTTCTTCTTTTATCTCTGTTTGGATTTAGACTAATCATGTTTTTTTTTTATTTATTAAATTCATATATAAATTTCAGGATGATATTGAGGATGGAAGCGGAAAGAACACAAATAGAAACTAGAAAGTGTCGAGGAGAGTTGGTCCAATATCGAGTCCTTCTGTATGCAAATAATGATCTGTAATAATAATATCCTTAGATGGATTGAAATAGGATTGTTATTTGAGATATTGGATCCTCACATATTGGTTTTGTTAATGTCTTTTGGGTTTTAATTAGTTCGAGAATTGATTTTGTTTGTTGGTATGCATTTTGAATGTGATTCATTTACTGTTTTGTATGTTAGGATAGCCAGGTACCATTTAATGATTAGCATGCAACTCTTTAGGCCATTAAATTGTCCAGGGATGTTGCAGATATGGGTGCTGGTAGCTTTTGCTGCCTTTTCTTGTGTTCTTAGTGGTATTGTTGCTACTGCAATTTGATGCAGTGTTCTGAAGATTTGCTTGTGCATTCAGTGTTCATTCTTCCTTGGTATCAAAATCCACACAAAGGGAATCCTGTGGAATCTGATCTGCGGAGGTTTTCTGTGGAATTTAATTTGCCGGGGATTTCTGTGAGCTGGCCCTAATGAGCTGTTGTCACCCTTTCTTGATTCCAACTCTTTTTAATGGAGCCTCTTTGTTTAAGTTAGTGAATCCATGAGACCTTTTTCTTTGTTTCTTTTAACCAAAACTCTTGAATTGAAAAAAGTTAACCAGCGACGTACCTCATTCCAAAAAGTTGAAATTTTTTTTTTTTTTTTAAATATTGTATAAGCCTCCTTTGAATTTTAATCTATTTAAAAATTAATTTTTTAATCTTTAAATTTAGGTTTTTATCTTTTGCGATTTGTTTTTAGATTTAATTCATAATTTAGCTCTTTTTTTCAAAAATAATGGTCAGATAAATAGTTTTTGAGAAAAAAAATTATGGGTTATTTTTTATTTTTATTTTAATTTTTAATGTTAACAAATAAAATAATATACTTCTTGATTTTGAAAAAAAAAAAAAAAGAAGATTTTCTATGGCTTTTTCTGATTGTTGTTTTAAAGGTCAATTCTGGAGTGCTGGACAAATTTTTGAAGTGTTTCTACTTTTGCATTCTGAGCCGTCAATTTCTTGAGATATGCTATTTTCTTTTTCTCGCAATTGGATTTGATTTGGTTAGGGTGATTTTGTCTTTTTATTATTTTTTCTCAGAAGTGTTTTTGGATCTGTTTTCTGCAGTGGATTATAAATCAGTACTAAATGTTAGATTATCTAATCTATTTTAAGAAATACCAAAAATTTTCTGAAGAAACGAAGGGAAAAAAAACCCAACCAGTTGCTGTAGTTCTCCAAAGATGATGTGACATTAACAAAGAAAGGGTTCAACGAGAGTGTCAAATGACAGTGTCCCTACCGTTCTCTTAAAGATTAGCAAAATCGGTTGAGGAAAGATCAGTTCGATGAAAATGTCTGAAATAAAAAACCTAAACACGATGCTGTTAACATGCCAAAGCATTTTGGGGAAAGAATGATCCGTGACAACATGAGTTTGTGTGATCTCTTCTTGGTTAGAATTTCAGAAGTTGGGCCAAATGTCCACCAATCACGAAGAAGTGGAGTTTTGGAGCATGTAAATTTACCATAAAAGACCTGAAAAAACAGCTTTTTGATTCCTCGCTTCTGAAATTAAAATTAGAAGGGCAGAATCTATCAAATGTCCAGTCGCTTAAAACTGAACGGGCCCATGGCCCAAAATCATTATCCGTTTTCATAATCTAGGAAACTGCAGCCACTAATCTGCTGACAAATGGCTTTCTGAAGTAAATCAGCTCCCCGCCGTCCCCAAGGGCAGAAAGATCAACCCCAACTTTTTTCAATATTCCATAATTGCTGCTGTGTCTATCTTGTGGTAGTATTTCAATTAGGTTGCATGCATCTGCATTAAGTTCGTTCCTCCTATTTAGTCAAGACAACTTATTCGTATTTTAGAGTAGAAAATTTTATGAGAAATTAGATTTTTGTGGCCTAACAAGAAAAGCAAATAAAATTATTCTAACGTAATTTATTGATAAATAAGTATCTATTTGTAAATTAGACTCAGTATTCAATTTTTATGACCAGCATGTTTTAGAATTTATTTTCAAAATATTAAAATATATAAGATCATATATTGGAGAGTACTCTTTAATCACGTCTAAAAAAAATTAATTTCAAAATATGTAAAAAAAATTAGTCTTAAAATACGTAAAAACTTATTCGAAAATATCCTTATTGCTTAGTATTGACATAAAAAAAAATTATCCCAATTGAAAAACATGATACTTATTATTTTTATTGCTAAAATGAAATGTTAAATAATATGTGGTTAATATTCGTAATTGTCTTATATTTATTTGTATAATCTGATTTGTCATACAACTCCGATAAATTAGACACTCGCTAATTATTGACTTTTATCTTACATTAACATCTTAAGGTGTTTGTAAAAACATGATAAATTATGCTATTTATCTTCGATGGTGTTTGAAAATTCTTATAAATGCATCATTTGGATATGTAAACAACACGCTTATAATCTAATTAGGATGTTAAATTTAGAAAATTCTTATAAATACAGTATTCATATATGTAAATAACATAACTATAATCTAAATAGGATGTCAAATTATATCATTTATCTTCCACGTCATTAGAAATTTTTTATAAATACATCATTAGCATATGTGATCAACAATTCTATAACCTAACTAGGATGTGGGGAAACTAATTCTGAAGCTAACCTAATCGTTGGAAAAATAGAAAATAATTTTTTATTGACGAAACTATCTTTAAATGTACATTATCGTTATCTATTGAGAAATTTTATAATGCTCGGAGAATAATCAATAATATATATAATAATTACTCTATAAATTTACTTTTGAAAAAAAAATAGATATATAGAAAAAAAAATTACATTTAGATCCAAAAATAATAATAATAAATTTTTCAGATTTTATCAATTTTTTAAATTTTTTCTTTTTTTTATATCTATCTCTGCTATAAAATAACTATTATAAACCATTAGATATTATAAAATTTCTCTTTACCTATCAAAGCATGCACTCAAATCCTCAACACAGTACTCCTTGATAACGAACGTCACCATAGACCAACTCCTAGGATCTATCGCCCACAGCAACTTCCTCTTTACAAAAGACAACGGTTTTCTCAGGTCTCGTTTTCTTTAATAAACCATCATTTTTTTAAGCACCAGTTTACAGTTCTGTCAAAATCCAATCACCCAAATTCTTGTAGATCACACAAGTAGCTGTTTGATTTTATCCAAATCATTCCTTTGAAATCTAATCACCGAGCAGTGTCATTTTTGTTATTCAGATGGCTTCAACAATGCTTTCTCTAACTTCTGCTACTCCTTCTGCTTCACTTTCTATGCAAGAAATTCTCAAGGTAACTATAATTCTCTGTTTACTTGCCACTTTCTATTGTTTTTCTTTACTGGGTCATAATTTTTTTAAGCGTTTTGTTTGATTAGAAGGAAATGTGGCAAATCAAATACATTAGAGCTATGAAAGTTGTTTTAACAGTCAAAAGTTTATGTTTTGTTATTTTCTTGGAAAACAAATAGATGTTTATGGTTTTGGATCAGTAATTTTAATTGTGGTTTGGACAGGGAAAGGCGAGGCTTGGAAGTGGTACTGGAAGTACATTGTTTAACAAGGAGAAAGGCAATCCCTTTATCAAGGAAAAGGTATATCTGTTTTTTCTTATTGGGTTTTCAGTTTTTTATTGAATTCTTGCTTTTATGATCCTGTCTTTTGTAATTAGTGGAGGATTCTTGATTTTTGCTAAAGCAGGAGCTATGTTCTTTAAAAAATGTAAAAGATTGAGGCTTTATTGTTTAATTGCATATTTTTTTCAAAGCATGGTTTTTTACCAGTGCATGCTTCTGTTCTTTGAAAGATTTTGATATGATTCGATTCGAGCTTAACATGAGTTATTTGGTCGGATTTAAGCTTCATATGTATTGGTTTCGAGGTGTGACTTTGTCGTTTCTGATTTGCAGTCATTTGGCCGGATATCTATGACTGTTGCGGTGAATGCATCTTGTTTTGAGGGTATAGCTATGGCTCCTCCCGATCCTATCCTTGGTGTTTCTGAAGCTTTTAGAGCAGACACAGATGCAAAGAAGCTCAACCTTGGAGTTGGGGCCTACCGAACTGAAGAGTTACAGCCATATGTGCTTGATGTTGTTAACAAGGTCAGTAAGCTTTATCTGTCTAATTGGTATATTGTTCTTGAATGGCAATCTAGCTTTGACCTTTTTACTTATAAGCAGCAGCAATGATTTCTCTGATAGCATATCTGGAATTGATCTTAATTTCTAGGCTGAGCGTCTTATGCTGGAGAGGAGCGAAAACAAAGAGGTATCTCAATAAATTCAAATTTAAGAATGACAAGAATTTTCAATCTCCATATTTTTGTTCAACTCTCCTGACATCGATCATTTTTATGTAGTATCTCCCAATCGAAGGTTTGGCTGCATTCAATAAGGTGACTGCGGAGTTACTATTCGGAGCTGACAATCCAGTGATAAATCAACAAAGAGTATGCTGCAGACATAAGCTTTTATTTCTTTTGAAAGGAATTCAATTGTTGATCCCTGTTATAAAGTTATTACTGAGAAAATAATAAATGACTATTTGTAAAATAATTCCAGGTTGCAACTGTTCAAGGTCTTTCAGGCACAGGTTCTCTTCGATTAGCTGCAGCTCTCATTGAGCGATATTTTCCTGGAGCACAAGTTATGATATCATCTCCAACTTGGGGTGTGTGGTGCCGCTTTCTTGTGTGTTTTGTATGATTCGTCTCATCAGTATCAACTTTAATGGCCGACAAACTAATTTTTCAGGTAATCACAAGAATATTTTCAATGATGCAAGAGTTCCATGGTCCGAGTACCGATACTATGATCCTAAAACAGTTGGCTTGGATTTTGAGGGGATGATATCAGACATAAAGGTTAGGTCTAGATCAATTGTGCTGCATTTCAAATTTTTTTTCATATTGTTTTGAATCACTATAATTTATGCTGCTATATCTTTCAGCTCATTTTTTGTGTTCTTCACTATTTCAATTTGCACTAGTATCCTGTCCTCTCTCTCTCGATCTATCCCTCCCTCCAGGGATGGGGAGTGTTTAGGCACACAATTGAATAATACACTATCAGTGCTTGGTATGAGAATTCAGAGAGAGAGGGGTAATCTTTCCTTAATAACCTCAGTTTCAGAGTGAATTGTTTCTCTAACTCATTTACTATTTTTTTATGCAGGCCGCACCTGATGGATCATTTATAGTGCTACATGGTTGTGCTCACAACCCAACCGGTATTGATCCAACCCCTGAACAATGGGAGAAAATTGCTGATGTCATACAAGAGAAGAACCACATTCCATTTTTTGATGTTGCCTACCAGGTATACATTGCTTTAAATCTGATCCGAATTACAGTTGCACCATCATTTTTTTTGTGCTGCTGAACCAAAAATGTACATGTGTGAACTATAAAAGATTTACAATGGTATGTTGCTGTAGTATCATTTAAAAATTCCTTGAGAATTTGGATTACTGTTCAGGGACTGATATTTCAAAACTTCAATGTTCTCTCAGGGATTCGCTAGTGGAAGCCTTGATGAAGATGCATCATCAGTCAGGTTGTTTGCTGCACGTGGCATGGAGCTTCTGGTTGCTCAGTCATACAGCAAAAATTTGGGCTTGTATGCTGAAAGAATTGGGGCAATTAATGTTGTCTGCTCATCGGCAGATGCCGCAGCAAGGTGTGATAAACCAGTTTGCTACATAATGCTTGTTCGTTTGCTAGCTGAGTTTGAGATACCATTCCCTTAAAATACATACTATTTCACACTGCAGCATTGTTCATTTTCTAGCCTTTGTTTTGGTTAAGATTACCTCAAAAGGTGTTCTCGATAAGATGCATACAAGTTTTATGAAAATATTAACCAGGCAACCGTCAGTTTTGTCTTCACCATATATTGGTTTGAGGTCTCCAAGCGTACGGATCATGCTTCTGTGGACTGTTTGAATATCTACACTAGAACTGTGTTTATGTTTTTCTTGTTTGAGTTTTCCTCCTTTTTTTCTTTCCCCATTGAAACATGAAGGAATGGCCGTACATGTATCTGTTGAATCTACCCTGTGAGGACATAGATTTTGTATCCTACTTTGTGGTATGGAAGAAATGCTTGTGAAATCACTACTTTTGGTTTCTGATGGTGCATATTACACTTATTGCTTCTCATTATAGGGTGACCTTTGGTGAATTTTGATGTAATTGGGGTCAGGCCGGTTCTGTCAAAGGTGTCCTGTGAACAAGTTGTTAGAACCACCAATTTTGATATGGAAAACTTCCCTCACGTCATAATACCTGTTTGAATTATGATTTTTCTTTCTCTCAATTTTTAGGGTTAAGAGCCAACTGAAAAGGATTGCCCGACCAATGTACTCAAATCCTCCTGTTCACGGGGCTAGAATTGTTGCTAATGTTGTTGGGGATCCAGCTCTTTTCAATGAATGGAAAGCAGAGATGGAAATGATGGCTGGAAGGATAAAAAATGTTAGGCAGAAACTATTTGACAGTCTCTCCGCAAAAGATAAGAGTGGGAAAGATTGGTCTTTTATACTGAAGCAGATTGGCATGTTCTCCTTCACAGGCTTGAACAAAACTCAGGTAATTGCTCCTCGAATTTTTATCATGTTCCGGATCTTGTGTGATTTTTTTGTGGTAGAATCATTAAAATAAATAAATAAATAACCGTCTTCATATTTTTCTTTTGGATGAAATTTGTTTTCATTTTATATTTATGGTTTGATACTTGAATTTGTTCTTTTCCATTTTACTCAAACTTCTCCATCTTCATCGTTAATTCCATGATTGTCTTAAAACTTTTGCTTTTAGTCCAATTATTAAACTGCTCTGGTGTCCACCCTGCAGCATTGTTTCCCAAAGTCCTGATCTTTTTGTGTTTCTTTTTTTGTTCAATCAGAGTGACAATATGACCAATAAGTGGCATGTTTATATGACAAAGGATGGAAGAATATCCTTGGCAGGACTCTCGTTGGCCAAATGTGAATATCTTGCTGATGCAATTATGGACTCATACCACAACGTCAGTTGAAAGAAATGGCGAACAGACATTAGAACCAACAATTAAAAATTTTTGGCGACTTCAATGTTCTACTGAGTTGATATTATTTTACGGGAAGTTTGTAATAATGTTCACTGGTATTTGACTGTTATAAATCCATGTAAACTAAGTTCTGATTAAGGCGATTTATTACATCCCAGGTGGGGCCAAGTTATAGTTTTACCGGACATGGTGTCAGATTTTCTTTTCTTTCTTTTCTCTCCTTGAGGGACTCTGCTGAAACCTAGACTTTATTAGGGAAGGAAAGAAAAGAATTGCAGCACAGAGCAGAGCTCTCTGCTGAAGCCTAGACGCCCAAAAGATTCATAAAATTCCATGACAGAAAATGCTATTTTACAGAATCTTTGAAGCTGCTGAAAAAATGAACCCATTACGTACACAGCCAGGAGATTGAAAATGAGGTTAATGCAATTTTGGGAATGCTATTTTACTGATTCTCTAAACTTTGCTTCAATTTACAAATGTGGGGAAGATTCCAATGCTCGTGAAATCCATCTATATCAACCTTCTTGACCGAAATAATAAAAGATATGAATTATCAAACGATACATCAAAATATTCACATAAGAAAGTGCCGTGGATCAGTGATTCATCTAACAAAAAACTAAAGCAGAAGCAGCAGCATCCGAAAACAGTTCCCCTGATGTTTCCCTGATGCTTAGCCTTGTCCATAGCCCCTTGTCGATGACCTATAGGAGTTGTAGGCTGTGCAACTCTTAATGTCCCTCCAAGCTCAAAAGGAACTAGAGTGGGAAGAGAATGCATAACATCTGTTATGAGGCGGCGGTAACTCGAGTTGTAGGCTGCGCAACTCTTAATGTCCCTCCAAGCTCAAACGGAACTAGTGGGACAAGAGAGTGCACAACATCCGTTACGAGGGGGCGGTAACTCGGCTCCGGTTGAATACACAATACAGCCACTGCAGCAACCTGCACAAATTGCTATCCATTTAGCCAAGTCAAGCAAGTAGCCAACCCCACATCTACCCCAACATTACCTAAGCTTTGCCTAACTCTTGGCAAACAGACCTTTTCTCTCCTAACTCACCAACAGCATTTAGGAGCAGATAGATCAATTTAACCTTGGACTAAACCCAACCTGAGGCAAATTTTTGTTTTGCCCACCTACAACTACCAATCCAATCTAGATTTATTATTTAGAGTATAAAATTCTTCAAAATCGGTTTGCATCAGTCAGCAGTCAACTTGTACTTCACCTCACACTTCTAGATAGAACATATCCGATTAGAGAAGTAAACTATGGCTTTTATGGTTCACAAACCTGGAACAAGTACTTCTCATCTACTGAATTTCTGATCACAGGATCCACAATGGTTGGAAGCACAGCTCTGTTAGTGAGCTGAGGCATGGCCTGCATTTAAAACAGCAAGAGCATTAAATATAGTTATCAAAATCTTGAGATTCACTGCAAGAAATTTATTTTTTGGATCAGGAGTAAACATACCCATGTTACTATAGATTGGCAATGAGCTGGTGCCAGTTTTTCTACAGGCCTTCTTCCAAATAGAAGCTCCAGAAGCACAACTCCAAAAGCATAAACATCACTCTTATCTGTCAATTCACCTATAATATTCGAAAGGCTATTTGTTGAGAAGGAGGGACATGGCAAAATGTAAAACAAATCAGATGTGATTTCGGTCATTTGCATTTCACTGACATTTTTTTTTCCATCTAGTCATGTGTTTAGGGTTTTCTACATAATTGAGAGACAACACGATATTCGAGTTTTCTACATTGCGAAAGCCAAAAAACACAGTAGTGTTTAAAACTTTAACCAAAAAATCTTTGATAGGAAATGCATCCTTTAAAGATGCTTTGACCTTGCTGTCTGAGATTCATTACTCTAAGGTCTTCAAATCAAGCAAAATGCATCTCTTGTCTCTAAATTCACCCAACTAAACTATTTTTTATGAAAAAGTGATTTCTCAACTCAACTCAAGTCATCTAGCTAACAAGTCAAAACTACTGTTGTCGAAATTTTAACCAGTTTAATTTGCATACCATCTAACATATACTCAGGAGCTAAATAACCCACAGTGCCTGAAAGCTTGAGCTTGTTCTTGTTATGAGAGCTATCAGCTACAGCAAGACCAAAATCCGACAGCTGAATTCGAACACAAGTTAAGAGAAAGAGAGATAAGGTGAAGTGAAGATGGAAAAAGAAAAAAATTGAGAGTTGCATTAATTTAACACAAACTCAAAACTTTTATACATTTTTACCTTGGCATTGAAATTGGCATCCAAAAGTATATTAGATGATTTCAGATCTCTATGGATCACTGCTGGCTTGCAGAACTCATGCAGATATTCTAATCCTCTAGAGTCAACAATTTGAAATAAACAAATACTCAAAGAAAAACAAACAAAGGAAATTTAAAAATCAACAGAAAACAAAACAGAAACTCACCTTGCTATATCAAGAGCAATTTTCAACCTTAAATGCCAGTTTAATGAAGATCCACGAGAAGGTCCTGAAGCATCAACAAAATCCAGGAAAAAAATTATTTATGGACACTTCTCCGTTTCATAATACCATAACTCATAAACCATGACACAATAACTCCTATAAAAACAAAAAAACAAAAAAAAAATGGGACACATGATTTACCATGCAATAGATCTTCAAGGGACCCGTTTGGCATCAACTCATAAATAATGAATCCCATCTCTTCATGAACACTATAACCCACAATAGAAATTATATTTGGATTGTGAAATCTGCTTAACAAATCCACCTCGTTCTGCAATTCCAACAATTAATAATAAATCATCACCAAAAAAAACAAAGCTAAAAAAGAAGAAAATGCTATCAAATCTCCAAGAAAATTGATAATACCTCAAATTCTCTCTGTGCATCATCAGTTGCACAGTCTAGTTTCTTGACTGCAACACTTGACTCATTTTCCAGTACGGCCTTATATACAAGTCCAAATCCACCCTTCCCTAACAATTTATCATCTCCAAAATTGTTTGTCCCTTTCTCTAGTATCTTATACTCCATCAATGAAACAGATCCCCTGTTACTAACCATTCGTAAGGAACTGAATTTGCCCAAAAATGGTGCCAATGAAAGCCCTTTCTCCACACCTTCACATTAAAACAAATCAAAACGAAGGATTACTAACAAAAAACACAACAGTGAACCCAAATTTTGAAGTAAAATAAAGATGGGTTGTTGACAAAAACAGAAACCTAAGTACCTGAACATTGAGTAGCTTTCTTCTTTTGAGAGGACTTCCTATAGTAAATGAAACAAGAAAACAAAGAAAGAAAGATGATAACAACAAGAATGCTACAAGCAACAATGAGTAACAAGATTTTTTTCTTGTGTAAATCCACATGCTGGTGCTGGTCTTTGATTCCCATTTCCAATTCAGCTCCTGCTCAAATTATACAAAGAAGCAAACTTTTTAGCTTATTAAGCTTTGTCAAAAAGAAAGGAACCATAAAAACTAAATCTTGAAACTTTATCAACACTATATAGAGAGATGGGGTCATGCCAAAGAACTAAAGATTTTGACACATAAAGCGTGAAGCCATAAATGCACTAGATTTTGTAGTCGTTACTTAAATTTGGCAGAGAAAGTTTTGAGTTTTTGAAATAACTTAAACCACACCAAATCATTTCTTTTGAAGACTAAAAAGGGCCCTTTTAAGTACCTGGAGAGAAGGCAGCCAAGGAAGTGGAAATAGGAGAAATGGGAGATGGAGATGGAGATGGTGAAGAGACAAGTGGGTCCTCTTGTATGGCATTTACTACTACTAGACATAAGTGAAAAAACCAAATGGGAACTGTTTGAAGAACAACAACAAGATGAAGAAGCTTCATAATTGTCTGTTTGTTTCCAAGTTGAAAGAACACATGAAGATAGAGATATCTTAGGAGTTAAGGACTTAGGCCCTTTACCTTCGTGGGTTCAAAAAAGAAACACAAAGAGAAAGAGAAGTTACAAGTTGTGTAACAACAACATAGGAAGGGTCTGTAGATTGTTTAAACTTCGTTTGGATCTTCTTCTAGTTCTTGGACATGCCTTCCCTTCTTTTGAATCTTTTTCGAATTCTTTTTTTATTTTCTTTTTGAACTGTTTTTCTTACATTTAAAAAAGGGTAAGAAAAGAGAACAAAACGGAGGCAGAAAAAAGCTATCTATGTTTTGAGTCTTTGAGTAGGGACCACTACACAACAATCATGTGGGCAGTTGTGGAAAAATAAATAAAGAAAAAGAAAATTGTAAATCCAAAAAAGCTGCGAAAGCTTGCAGCCTGTGAGATAGAACGAGCTCAGTTGCTACCCAGAGGTCACAAAATCCATACAGTTCTTTTTTCCATTTTGGAGTTTCTCATTTAAAACCCATTTGCCTGCTTTTTTTATTTTCTGTTTAAACGTTGACGTTTTCACCCTCTTTTTTTTTTTATTAACGCATTTCAATCTCAAGTTATTAACAATTCAATTTCAGAAATTTTAAAATATTTAAGAAGTAACTAATGAGGTTATTTCACAAATACACCTTGAAAAAAAAATTGCACATAAAAAAACAATAATAACTCAACTCATTAGAAATAATAAAAATATTTCTCCATAAATTTAATTTTTTTTTAAATTATTTTTATTTTTTTGTATCTATATTTTTTTGAAATAAATATTGGTAGTTATTTTTTTAAAAAAAAATCAATTCTAAGTACGTTTAAACGCAATAGTAAATGGGGAAGGGCAAAGTATGTATGGGGAGAAAGATTTTTTGCAAGTTGGGACTTTAGGTCCTTTTGAAATAGGTGACAATAATGTCAAGTTAGGTTATTGTCGAGTTGCCATTCTATATTTCTTTGCACATCTTTTATGAAAAAAAAAAAAAAATCAATCTCACAGTGGTAATAAAATCCATTTCAATTTGTCAAGAACAGAAAAGTAACAATTCACATTGGTCTAACAAGTAGGTTTTGTTTGGCTTTA